GACATTGGGGTCTATTCACAAAGCTGCCGAAGGATCTGGCCGTAGCTTCGGCCGATCCTTCGGCTAGCTTTGTGCAGCTCCTCTGCAGCCAGGGAGAATACCTGGCACTTTCGAATATGGGGGAGCATGTGACCTGCACCCCTTTGACAGTGCCTGGACCTAGCAGCTAAGCACTAGTCCCAATTCACATTACCAGGGGAGTGATGTGTCCCCCTGTAGAAGAGCAAGGAGCAGCAAGGTAGCACAGGTGAGTATGAGGGGGTCAGGGAATATAATTTGCCTAGACACTGTCACTTTGACCTGCATAGACAAGGTGACAATGCCTCTTTATGTACACCTAGAAACGTTTTTGATGGATTAACCAGCTAAATCGTAGTTTAGCAGCTTCATGTTGATGTTGGCAATGGCAAAATACCTAGGTGCATGTTCTATTGTAATAGCAAAGTGTTAGCAGTATGTTTAAGACCATTTCAGGTTGGCTACACGCCTGTACATTGTCGTAATATGTTGTGTTGCAGTGCCATTCATTTAGAATGTCCCCTCAACATACTGTATATGCACTACAGCTGCCAATGCAGGCATGTTTTTTTATGAGTTGAAGTGTGTCCATAAGACACTGTACCATGAAAATATGTGGGGAAAAAAACCGCAATTAAATATGTGTGTTAAAGCGATTACATTATGCGATGCACAAGTGCCAAATAGGCCTTACACTTTGACATTTGTTACTGAATTTGACAGAAAATGTTACAGATGGCATTCAGAAGTTTCCCGGAGATGGACTTCAAGTATGAGAGATAAAGAATGTATAAGTTATCATGTAAAAAGAATACTGTCATGCATTAAAAAGGGTATTTCTTTGAGAGACAAATCAAAACTCTTACTACTTTACAAAACATTGGTTCGGCCTCATCTTGAAAATGCGATTTAGTTTTGGTCCCCAATTAATAGAAGGGATGCCCTAGAATTGGAAAGGGTTCAGCACAGGGCAACAAGGTAATAAGGGGTGTAGAGGGCCTCAGCTATGAAGAACGATTAAGTAATCTAAATGTATTTACCTTAGAGAGGAAGCAGGGCATTTTTTACCTTAATACATTCTCTTCATTAAAGGAGAACTATGAGGTGAGTGCTTTTCACTCACCTCATAGTTCTAGCCGACCTGTGACAATGAGACTGTCACAGGTCGGCTCAGTAGATCGGGAGGTGAGCGAACATATACCGGCGTTCGCTCACCTCTCGATCCTGTCACGGCTCTCTGCCGTGACAGGGGAGGGGCTGGATTCCCCCCTCCCCGCTCCGATCCGCCAGCGCTGACTGGCGGAACGGACGGGGGAGGGGGCGGGTACAGCTGGCTCTGCCTCTAGATAGGCAGAGCCAGCTGTCACTCACGCAGCTGGGCGGATCTCTATATCCTTCGGCAGCTTTGTGAATAGACCCCAATGTCACTTTGTCCTGCATGGGCAAGGTAACAGTGTCTCTTTAAAGCCTAACTCCATGTACACATGGGAGCACCAACAGCAGTCCCCACAGCTCTTCTGCCGCGCACACACACACACACACGTGTTGGACTGGATGGACCTGTGTCTTTTTTCCAATCTTATCAACAATGTAACTATGAAAAGCAACAAAATATCTTATATACCTTCTGAATAATAACCAGTGTCTTTGTCTGTGATAGAACCGGCAGTCACAACGGTAGTACCGGAGTATGTATGTGTTAGGGGGGGGGGTTTGTCTGCTTTTTTTCTTTTTTCAGAAAAACAAGGATCTAGTAAAAAGTGTCTTAAAAGAGAAACCTTGTACAGACTGTAGAAAAGTAGTAGTTTATTCCTCCCAGTGTGATTACAGATGATGTAGAAAAAGAAGACATCCCTGGCATCCCTTTACATGTGCACGCTGTCGGCTTGCCCTATTGTCCAGTAGGTGGTGTAGTACATTTGCCAATTAGTTTACAGTTACATTTAATCATCAGAGCTCTCTGTGTAATACAAATGAAACCACAAACTCAGCGAAGAAACGTGTTCCAGATTTTCCTATTTATATCAAATTCTAAACTTTTATTTCAGGGGTTAGCAAGGTTCACATCCCAAAGGTAAGCCTCCCCTGCCTAGTCTGAAGTCATACATTTCCTTATTTTTTTTTTTAACGTATTATTTATTAGTTAACATTATTTTTAGCATACTGTACACAGCATAATACTAATAAAGTTACCTACTATGAAATATTTTGTATCTTTTGTTAAAACACAAGTAATCTTCACTTAGTGCTGGTTCACACCTGGGCGTTTTTCATCGCTGATTGAAGCGCTGAAAAACGCTCAGCAAGTGAAATCCCATACTTTCCTATGGGCATGGTTCCCACCTGGGCATATTTCAGCGCGTAGAAACGCGCTGAAAAACGCCCAACGCCCAAACAAGTACATGAGCTTCTTTTGGGGTGTATTTCCGCGCGTATCCATTGATATTCCCGAGTGTGGCTCGGTGTTAACAAAGCGGTAACCCCGAGCCACACTCGGGAATACAGCGTAGGTCTTACTTGTCCGCGATATCTGCTGTGTCCTCCGGCCGCAGCCGCCTTCCGGGTTCCGTCCCTTGTGACCGTCCGCATCGCAGGGGGGCGGAACTGGCGGGAAGTTTGAAAGTTAAAAAAAACAAAACAGAAAAAAGATAGAAAAAAAAAGTTAAAAAAAATCATACCGCCATGGAGGTATAAAAACAAGCATCGAACACGCGTTTCACAAAACTAAATAACGTCCTAAAAAACATGCTAAAAACACGCATAAAACTCGCCTATGGCAACGCCCAGGTCTGAAACCAGCCTTATGTATTCATCACCCCAACAGCCCATGTCCAACCGCATCCACTGGTGTGAAGGAAACAGGGGGAAGTTCTGATTACTACACAGCACACTGCTTATCTTTTTTTTAAATGTTTTTATTTTATTGAAATGTCATAAAATGACATTTCCTTCATCTTCATGCACTGCAGAGCATTGCGGTGCAGTGTAGTGAATCGTAACGTGCTGCACTGCCTAAAAATGTAACATGTGTAGCATAGCTTTTTGGCACACACCATTGCAGTGCAGTGGGTTGAACTAATAGGACATAATGCAATTTGCCTTGTCCATGCGTTGAGACAGCGTTGAGACAGCGTTGGGCAATGCTGTCCAGCGCAGCCCAACACATACGGTGTGAATGGGCCCTGAAATTTTAATGTGGACCTTGCAGTACAATGTAATTTCCACTACTAATGTCTGCACCCCCTCTCCCTGTAAAAATCACTAGCTCTTAGTATGTGCAAAATTTACCTGTAGAGAAAAAGTATAGATTTGTACTCATCCAACCCCTGTGTTTTGCATCATTGGGCGCAATGTTCCCATCCTTCTAGGGAGAACAGAGCAGCGCAGATCTCATGAGAAGACACTACAGTCTTTTGCAATAGCGTCTTCTCGCAAGATTTGGGCTGCTGTGTATTTCCTAGGACCTAGTTGGAAGGAATGGGACGTCACCCTCGGTTAGAGTAGATCTTGTCACACTCCTTACCGGAAATCCCAATGATAGGGAAGGGTGCTTGAAATGACTGCGGATGGCGCCGCTGATCACATAGGTTAGTTGAGAAGAATATCTTTTCAGGATCACCAATAGTTTATTTTATTGAACAATTGTCAAATGGAAACAAGCGCTTTTGGGAACGTGCAGGGTCCCTTCATCAGGCTTAACATCAACGACGCATGGTACCGTGCAACTCTAGAGAAACAGAGCCAGGTGTCAATCAGGTGAGGGGATTGATCCCGAAGGCCGCAGTGCGGCTCTGCGCTGTCAGCACATGGCAGGCAATATATGTCCTCCTGTGACCCTCAAAAGAACTATGGCCAAAAAGGTTGGGCCATAGTTCTCTTCTAACAGTGCGGGAGGTGCATTGCATTGCCATTCTTTTGAATGGCACCAAATGCACCTTCCGTCTGCAATTAGATCGACCACAATGCGATTGACCATAGTACTGTAGTACTGTTTACAATCACACTACAATGCATGGTGCGCAGGTGCATTGCACAGTACGTAGGTGCAGTAGGTGCATTGCAATAAACGCATGGTTTACAGTCCTGGTGAATGGGTCCTAAGCATACACTACAAAATATGGTAACTGTGCATCATACCAAATATGGAGGGCAATAAAAATATTTTTCTGTTGGAGAGTAGCGGAACACTAGGATCCCTGTCAGATTTTTATTCCTATCTGTGTCTCTGTTGCAAATATTCCTTCACTTCCTGTTTAGTGAAACAGTTGTTAACAGGGCAGGAAGTGAGGGGAAATCTCTAAGGGCACGAAATGAGGGTAAATCTAAGTGGGGATAACTGAGCCCTGGATACCTGTGAAAAACCTGACAGGAGTTCTTACCCTTCCCCACACTACCCAAAACTAAAGAAAACATTTACAGCTGACATACACTTTAACTTGGCCGTCAAATGTGATTGCAGTAGACAAAAATGAGAAATTCAGATGATATACCCAGTCATAACTTGGCATTTTGAAAAGAAAAAGCAATTTTATGTTAGACTTCTTTTTCTCTAAATATATTCCCCACCCAATAAACATTTTTATATTTTACATAGCTGTTTGTGCTATATAAATCCTGTATAATAATGATAATAATAATTTACATTTTCCTTTCCACTTAAGTGCACCAAATACGATGGATGTACGGAACAGAAGCAGCAACAAAGGTCACAAGTAAAGGAAATCTTATCTTTACATATAATAAAACACACACACACATGTTACAGTAGGGATACCTTTGAGAGGCATTGAAAAGAATAAGTGCAATTGGAATTGTGTTGTGACTGATCAGCAGCAAGCATGAAGAAGAAATCTCCTCATCTAAAGGGATGCGGGGGATGTCGTTGTTCATATAACTGTGGTAAAAAGTTCCTGTGCTCTGCGTGATTGGTTGCTTCCAAGTCCATCCCCCATCAGGTACTCTTTATCATTGCTAGAGCTAGCCACAACTCTGCTCATCTGGAGACAGCTGTGCGCCCTGCAGAATTTGTGTAGTGGGTCTCCTCTGGAGAGTGGCGCGGGGATGAGCCCCGGCGGGTACCTGAGGGGGGCAGCGGCACTTGAGGGTCCCCCGGAGATTGTGGCACGATCGCAAACCTATCAAAAGTCTGTCTATATCGCAGTGACCTTTCTGGCATTGCTGCAACTTGGCTGCACTTTGGGTCTTTTTCTCTATGTCAAGGTGAGCAACATTGTCATGTCATGTCACAAAGCTAACACACCAGGATCCTTTATTTCAAAAAGTGACTGTATTTTTAGAGTCTTATAGTCACATGGCTGAAATAACGACCCATTAGTTGTAATTGTGTTATATCTTTGAAATTGAACCTATTGTCATGTGTAGCACTGTAATTTTTATAAAGTGTGGTATGTGAATTTGGGGATTTACTTGTAGATGTCATTGCAATGTTTGTAATCTAGGAGGATGAGGACATATGTCTTCCAGGTTTGTTTTTCAGAACTTGAGTTATTATTGCTTTTGCATAGCGTGACTATAACCTCCCAATACCAAAACCAATCAGCTTCTCTCTTCAGTTTGTTTAGGTAGGATTCGCAAATGAAAGAGAGAAGCTGATTGGTTGCCATCCATGCACATCTGCTCCAGTTTTGATAAATTCCCCCCTACTATGTATTGCGTATTTTATATAAACATGTACTATGTATAGCATATATTACACACACACATATACTATGTATAGCATATATTACACACACACATATACTATGTATAGCATATATTACACACACACATATACTATGTATAGCATATATTACACACACACATATACTATGTATAGCATATATTACACACACACATATACTATGTATAGCATATATTACACATACACATATACTATGTATAGCATATATTACACACACACACACACACACATATACTATGTATAGCATATACTATGTATAGCATATATTGCTACATATGCTATTGTTGTCTATGGCATGACTAAATATAATTCAGGATTAGTCAAGTGACCTTAACGAAGAAGAGAATTTAAAGATAAGTCAGAATGCAGTAATTCATTAAATTTAATCTGAATGTATTTTTGGAAGATCTGACCTTACCAAATCAAAATCTTGCTAGTTGTTATGGTTACTGCACTTTTTAAAACAATAATGTGCAAACATGAATGTAACCTGCGAAGTGTGATGATCCATGTATGGCTGATATGACTTGAGTAAATGATCAGGGATTGCTTTAGTGCACTTTGCACATCATCATTGGTCTTTGCACTGTTGTGTGATGATAAAGAGAAACAAAGTCATAACAATACAAAAATATTTTTAATTAGAGAGTATTTGTTTCTAAGTGCTAATAGCAACACATCAACATGTACCCAGTAGCTAGAATCAGACCAGAACAAGAAGAGTTCTGATTGGTTGGAATTGGTGATTTCACTTTGAACTATTTCTAAGGCTGCACAGCTTTTGTGAAAGGAAATAAGCACAAAAGGGGCGCCTTTCCTGGTGCAGATCAATTTTATTTCAGTAAACATGAAGTAAAGAACCGAATAAGAACAGTAAAGAACCGAATAATACCCGAATAATGTGTATAGCAAATATTACACACACACACACACACACACACACACACACACACACACACACACATATATATTACTATGTTATAATAACCTGACTTTGTAAAGGAATCACAGCATGCGTCTGTTTCCAACCTATTACCACCAATCTTTCATGTGTAGGTCTGCAAAAACTGAACTCTTTTCTGTTGTTCTTTTTGGACCTAGAGGGACTTGGAGTTAATCAGCGGTAAATGGAGACATGTCCTTTTACATAGGCCAGCCCACAGAGTAACATTGCACTTCCAATCAGATCTGCCTAGAAAACTGACAGGCAGATCTGATTGCAACGTCTGTGTGAAAGAAGCCTTGCAGTACTTTAATCACCACCCTATGGCTTCATTCACACTTAGGCATTTTGTCGCTCAAAGCTTAGTGCGACAAAACGTTCAAGCCAAGGAATCCCATTCATTTCTATGGTCCCTGTTAACAACTGAGTGGTTTGTTGTGCGTTTTGTTTTACAAGGTTTCCCACTCAGGGAGGCATCATGGGTACGGCACTGAGGCCAGAGTGTTCATGGGGGTTGAAAACAGCCTCCTTAGGTGCCAATTAACCTAGCCTCGCTCCTGTTAGAGAGGAACACATGACATTCTCCCTGCCTCTCTACAATGAAGTTCTTAGATCCTGAGTGGTGAACTGCTATGGCTGAGTGCTGTCATATATAGTTGTGGAGGAAATACGTCAAAACCTACACAGGACATCAGAAAACTCTGGTAGAGGATTGGGGTCATGCAGAAGCAATTAGAAGGTAAGTAACTTCACCTAAATCCTCTGTATACCATTCGGGAGATTTTACTTTACTTCCTAACCCATAGACCCATCAGGAAGTGAAAGGAAACCTCTGAAAAGTGAGGGAAATCCTCTCTATATTGAAACTAGTGCCCCCATTGAAAGATTTTCCACTATTCCTGTTCTAGTGACAACTCAAAATCCTGGAGTTTCAGTTCTGGTTATAATGGTCACTAGGACATATAGAAAGGGTGAATCTTCCTAGTAAAAAGTAACCTGATAGGGTTTATAACCCTTCCCTACTCTATCCAAAACAAAAAAAATACGTTTTAGCTTTTAGCTATAACCGTTAGAGTCTCTATAGGGACCACATTCAATCCTCCAGCATCTTTAAAGAGCGGAAACACCAGTTTTTGGTGGATTGTACCTCTGAGCCTTTAGCTTGTACTATGTATTCAAATAAACATTTATGCCTTAATATTGTGCAAAAAACACATTACTGGAGGAAAGACAGGTGCTTTTGCTGCCCTTAACAACTTGCCAGGTGTCTGCTTCCACTTTCTGACTTGCAGTAGAGTACAAATGCCTTAAATGTGGTTGACTGGTGACCATTTCAGCCTGATTTTATTACTCAGCTTCCCTGGGGTTTTGCTTTTTTTTTGCTTTGTGCATTAGGGAAGGTTTTGTCTGACTGTTTTTGCTATTTTCAGCCAGGGGGAATTTTAATGTTGCACATGGAGCCAGGAGACTGTCTAGTCTGGGGAATTACATTCTATTAATGCTAATGTGCATAGAGATTGTAATTGTATAAAAATAATGAAAATATGAGAATTGCACTCCTATTATTAGCTTTGTTCTGTGCTATGGCTGAATAGGATACAAATTGTGCTTAAAGGGTTAGTTCACATTTATATCACCTTTCCAAAAAGTACCTATGCATTTGAGCTTGTGTGGTATATTATTAAGCAGATCTCTGCAGTGTTAAAAAAGATGCTTAATTTCAAATTATACCTGCAGGCCGTGCACAGTCTTTCCCCAGCTTGTCTGTGAAACTTCTAGAGTAGGGGCCCTCTGCTGGCTGCTGGACACATTAGAACAGGAAAAAGCGATCTGGCTTGTTCATAACCCTATGCATGTGCAGTGCGTGCTCCCTCCCTCTTACACAGCACTAAGTTCCACTGCTGCTACTGCGACAGAGGGGGCGAAAGTGCACTGTGAACTGCACTGATTGTGAACAAGCCAGACTGTTGGTTTCTGCACTGGTGGGGCTGCGTGTCCAATAGACTGCCTGTCCAATGGCTGGCCCATCCTGTCATTTAGGCAGGAAGGGGAGGGTCTTCCACTGTTTTTTTACAGAAAGGCTGGGGTGAAGGCGCTTAAGACCTACAGCTATACCTTGGAAAATATATATATATTTTTTAAACCTGAGGACAGTTTTTTAACATACTACAGAAACAGGCATGCATAGATACTTTTTGTAAAGGTGATGTAAATTCACCTTTATATCACCTGTCCACAAAGTGCTTGGAGTGGTGACTACTTTACAACACACATAGGGACGATAGGGAACAAAAGTAGCCACCCTCCAGAAGAAGGTCCAGTGTAAGCATGAATGCAGAGATGATTTGAGGATTTACAGCAGAGTGAGGCACAAATAAGATACATTTTTTGTTAATAGTTGAGGTTAGGGATGCACCAATACCAGTTTTTCGGTATCAAGTACGAGTACCGATATTTTGCTATTGGTACTTGCCGATACAGAGTATCGATACTAGTGCTTCCACTGGCATGGAGCCCGCTTCCCTGGCAATCGGGAAGCCGGGCAGCAGGTAATAACATCCCGCCTTCTTCCCGATTGCCTGGTTAGCCGGCTCCATGTTGTTTCACCGGCTCGATTGTGATTGGCCGGGAAACCGGCTTCCCAGCCAATCAGCATTGAGCCGGCTTCCCGGCCAATTAGGAAGCCAGGAAGGAGTAATGACCCACCTCCCGGCTTTCTGATTGGCCGGGAAGGCGACTCCATGCTGATTGGCTGAAAAGCCAGCTTCCCTGCTAATCAGCATGTAGCCTCCTTTACGGCCAATCAGTTAGCCAGGAGGCAGGTCATTACTCGCAGCGTGGCTTCCTGATTGCCAGGGAAGCTGGCTCCATGTTCCCCTATGGCACTGCCAGCCAGAGGAAATCTTCCTCTGACCAGAAGTTCCGGTATTGGAGCATTTGGCCATGTACGAGTATCGGCACCAATACCAGTATCGGTGCATCCCTAGTAAAGGTACTTAAATGCATTTTTAAGATTTAACTACTGAGTTTAATGTCACTTTAACAGATCTGTGTGGGAGCAAAAGAATGGTGACCATATGCTCCTGCAGAAGAGGGAAGTGAAGTAACCCTGTTATTTTGCCTCGCATAGGTACAGCAAAGTATCACTTCAAAGTCCAACCCTTCAGAAGTGTTTATTCTTTTTGGTATGAGCACTGCTTAGTTACCTGTCCCCTACTTTTATGTCTTGGAGACTCCATTGGTAAGATTTTCCAGCAGGAGTTTTTCTCTGTTCCATTGACAAGATCCTAACAAAGGTGACAATCTATTCACTGGATTCCCCAGTTATCTGTACATTTATGAGAATCCACTTAGTGGAAGAGACATCAGCTTATGGCTTTATTGATGGTTGCATCATTTATTTAGAATTCTGAATTGCAGGTGTCCATGAGAGACAGAAGAAACTTGCATTCAATTATACTTGTGTACAACATAAAATTAAACCATCAGTTTAGGATGAAGGTGTTCTTTTACGAAGATCAGCAAGAAGCATATAGATCTTTAGAGCAGTCATTTAGGAGTAACAGTAATTTGATTAATAGTAATGGCTTTTGATTGTGATGTTTTTCATGTACATCTTTCCTGAAAAGAACTGGTTTATGTCACATGGAACTGACATTAGTCGAGAAAACTTTTGAGAAAAATATAATAAAAGGCTATAGCTTAGTTGAACCTGAGGGCAGTCAGTAGTCCATATATGGTTAATTTAAAAAAAAACTGATTTAGCAAGCCCACATTAAAAGTTTGACAAAGCCATTGTTTTCTTTTTGTTTTGGCTACAATAGGAAACACTTCAAATAAATCTATTCCCAATTACTAAAATCTCATAAATGTTTTTAACATGTTTTAGTAGTTTTCAATCTTCTTCAAATTCTTATTAAAATAATACCTGGTAATTTTGCCGTGAAGGTCTTTGTTCAGGTACTTGTTATGGGGTGACACCACTTTGTCTCTTTCTCCCAATTGCTCTTTTGCATTGTCACCCTGTTAGATGCACTTCCATTAGAGGGTAAAAGTGGATGTTGCCAGTAACAGGAAACTTGCCCTGAGCAATGATTTTGGTGGCTGGCTTCTTCTTCTTCCTTCTTCTTCCTTGTTCTCTGTGCTGGCCCAAAGATGACGTCTGCAGCAGATCTCAGTGCTCCCCTGAGATCTCTTTTTCTCTGAGCCTTTTCACTGAGATCTAAGGAGTTTACGTCAGAGATCTCCCTGGAATGCACTGGTGATATAGCCTTTAAGTCACTGGTAAGGTAGCCTTCCAATGGGGCAGCTGGAAGGCACTGGCCAGAGGCGTAACTAGAACCTTCAGGGCCCCGGTGCAAGAAACCATGAAGGGCCCCCCCAACCGCCATGGCAACGCATGATTAACAGGAAGGCTGCCGAGGTCCCCAGCAAGCGCGGGACCTCAGGCAGCCGCTTGTTTAAAATTTTAGTGCCGGTGTTCTGTCGAGAACGCTGACCAAGTATCTGCGTTTATGTACAGACGGGATTAACGAGGAAACCAGCATTTATTTACAAAGTATTCGTTTGTAATGGTTAATTGTGACCGTTAATAATATACCATGCAGGGCTGTAAATGATGGGTGGAATATTATCAGGGGCAGACTGGGCCGGGGGGCAGGGTGGCAATTGCCCCCCGGGCCTCTTCACGTCGGCGTTCTCGACAGCACACCGGTATCTGCGTTTAGTGTTGGGGCATTTTCAGAAGTATGAGTACTCGTGCCAAGTATTGGCAGTGGTGTATCCCTACTTAGAAATATAATGCATTGCTGGGACTTGTGGTCCTACATAGTTGGAGCTATTCTGCATTGCTGTATAATGCAGAATACCAGCACCCTTGCAGGACTACAAGTCCCAGCAATATATTATAATAAAAGTCAGCTATGCAGAATACCACCAGCATCCCCCCTCCCACTATAATGCTACCAGTGCCTAACAATACCAAGAAGTGGAGTACATAAAAAGGTAAGTTCAAAAATAATAATTTTATTTTACAAATTTTACAAATATAATGGGGGAAATTTATCAAAACTGGAGCAGACAAAATCTGGAGCAGTTGCCCAGGGCAACCAATCAGCTGCTGTATTCAGTTTTTCAGTTAAGATTTGAAAATGAAAGAGAGAAGCTGATTGGTTGCCATGCACAGCTGCTCCAGATTGCATCTGCTCAACTTTTGATAAATCCCCCTCAATGGGATTAGAGGTCAACATGCAGAGCTGCATACACTATATATAATTTCAGGTTTTTACATGTGCCTGTGTCACTATAAAAAAACATGTTTTATAGTGAAAGCCCAACTCCTGCCAAAATCTTTATTTTTAGGGTTTGGTAAGAGAATGGAAGGGTAGCACATTTTTCAGCTGTATGGTGAGATCGCTGGAACGGGAGGAAGGTAAGTATTTTACTGGGCACTCTGCACTCAAGGAGGTGGGGGATTTATTAAATTAAATTATTACTTTTACTGAACCTATCCTTTACAGGTTTCTGAATTTTCATTGTTGGTAGATGTGGGTTTGCTTAAAACCCTGCAAGTCAATTTTGAGCCCTATAGCTAGGGTTAGAATGTCATCAATGCAGTCTATAGGCATACAAGCTGTGGTGCCCCAAGTAACACTCAGCTTCTGAGATCACCTCTTAGGCTTAGAACATTTCTTGTATAATGAGTCCTAACCTGGCAATGTAAATACGCTTATGTGAAATCATTGTATTTCTAGTAAGGATGGGAAAAACGTGCAACCAATAACTAGACAACAGCTCTGAGTCGTTTTCAGCTTCTGAAGTATAGTTTAAGACAAAACTCATCCACTGCAGCAACAAAGTATTTTAGTTGTTTTCAGATCTTTTGCAAAGAATGCATTGGAAAGCCACAAAGAAATGAAAGAAGAGTGAAAGTTTACAAGATTTTGCAAGCTACTTCTATACTTGCCTATTCTCTTAACCACAAAAATCCGTCACAGGATGTGTGGCGCAGAAAGACTCAGTTTTAATCGCAGGTTTTCAAGCTTTATTATTCCTGTATTGCAGTTACTTTCATCTTGAGGAAAATTTTCATAGTATTGCATATGATTTACAATTGCAGTTACCCTTTTTCAGTATGTGTGGTGTGTACAGTCACCTTATGAAGACATGGCAATGCGCCCAAATGAGGCATGTCTCTATTAGTGAATCTGCTGATTTCTGACTGCATTAGCTTTTCTTTGGTGGTATAGTTGATGTCTTTATTGCTGCCTAATAGTGGTAACGTAATTTTCTTAAAATGCGGGGCTGTGTGGGATCGCTCCTCACCAGTGTAGCTTTCCCAGGCTCTGTGTGGTAAATTTCCTGCACCACTGTGCAATCCTTTAAAAAATGTAATGAATACTTTGAGACACTACAGAAGTAATATAATTCACTCCCCCTTCTATGACAAGGGTTATAGATAGGCAGCACTCGCATACTACTGAACATTACAACTTATAGTGGAAGTAAAGGTAAAAAAACTAAATTCAGATTGGCTGGCTTTCTGTGTCAGCAGAGACTGTGTAATTCTCTTCTGCCATAAAAGCTTCTTTTTATAATGCAGCAATTTTTTCTCTGTACGCTGAGTCACGCATGCGCATCTCAGCACACAGACCTGGCATGTCAAGATGAAGTAACTCTAATGCACATGTGTAGGAGTTATGTTATCAGGGCCCAGCCAAACTTTATATACTGTACACATTTACCACACACACATTTACCACACATTTTTCACTAGATGTTTGGGTTTGATAATAAGTTGCGCTAATTTCGTGCAACATAAAAGTTTGCAACTGCCACCATTGTAATCTATAGGGTCTGGGCTTTCAGAAAATATATAATGTTTGGGGGTTGTAAGTAATTTTCAGGCCTAAAATGGGGATTATAACATGGGTGCAAAAAATTAAAAAAAGGCCTTAAGCACTCACCTCATAGTTCTCCTTTAAAGGACCATTTCTACTGATATAAGAGCAGTAAATTACAATGGATTTCACTCTACATCTACTTGGTAAGTTGACAGTGCCTGTGGATCTTGTTGAGCCAGCAAGCTGCCATACTGTCCATACATACTGGGTCTCGAAAGTTTGTCTTTTGCACAAAGTGGCATTTGAAAACAAGACAATAACAGATTTTACCAATAATTTATGATATGAGGTGCTCAACCTTAGATATACTATATTGTATAAACTAGGGGTGTTCAGATACCAAGTACCGTACTCGGTAAAAGTGCAAGTACATATACTTTTCCAGCTCCAAGAGTAGACTAGAGAAAAACTCAAAAGTTAGGAGGCAGCTGTCCTTTTTAAGGAGCACACATAGGTCCTGGGATTTGTACATCTCTGTTTTAATGTATGATTTTGTTTTTATAAATATATATATTAGGAATGCACCGATACCATTTTTTGAAGTACAAGTACTGATACTTGTCCAAGTACTCACAGATACAAGTACTGATACATTTTTGCTTATTGTCATGTGACAGTTTTTCTAAAACAATACAGACCAATGATTTCAGGACAGTGGTGGAGCGCCAGAGCCAGATCCCAGCTACAACCGCTGCGACCCTTGTAGTTCTCCTGAAAATGCCAAGTATCGGCACTGGTATCTGAACTGGTATCTGAACATCCCTAGCCTATAAACAATATAACGTGCATTAACAGAACTGTAGACTATATGCTTCAGAGCTTGTCAGTTTCTGATAGTGCCAAACGTCGCATAATCTTCTTTATGTTCACAGATGGAACCAAGATGTATATGTGAAAAAGAGTGTGATAAAGAAAGGTTAAAATCATGTGAAGTTATGAAAGAGACAATAACTGCAACAGTAAAAAAGGTATTTTCACGTAAACAATAATGTCAACTTTTGCTTTGTTTTGTTTTAAGTAGAACAGAAATTCAGTCAAAATCTTTAAGCTTAATTTCGGGCAGTGTGAAAAGGCTTAGAAGCTCTGTCAGCTGTGTCCTCAGATTTCTGTTCACTTCCTGTTGTGTCACTGGGACAGGAAGAGAGGACAATGTCTCCTGCAGAGATACAGATACAGAAAAGTATTCTTATTAGTAGAGTGGGTAACAGTTAGAGTTCAGGGTTTTGTTGCTGTTTGTGCAACCCCATTGAAGAGATTTCCTTACTTTCTTATTATGGCACTGGGACAGGAAGTGTTCCTAACAGGAACACAAACTGCAATTAAAAGCTGACAGAGTTTGTAACCCTCTCCAACCCTAAAAACATGTTGACTGTTCTACATTATTCTTAATTAAACTTAAAATATAATATTAATAGTTTTGGTAAAAGTTGTATTTAAGGGCCATACACATCTCTCCATCCAGCGCTTAGAAACCTGGGATGCTTTTGATGTTGTCCCGCCAATCTCCTGGCAACCAGTGGCATTACTGGTTGCCAGGAACTCAGCGGGACGTCACCGTCACCTTTTTTTTGGTTCTAATTAGATGTTTTGCTGCTGCTCCAAATCACAAGCACACCCGTAGATGTACAAATAGATTCTCTGTATGGGCACTCAGTTTAACCTTAAACAACAGTGATATATGCTCTTATCTCAGTTCACTGTCCATTCCATATTTAGTGAACATGGAGCAGATTGTACATGTTCAACTGTGATGTATCCCAGTCCTTTCTCAGGCTCTCCAATGCTTTTTCCCTGTTGATTGATAGCTGTTGATTGATAGCTTTCCCTGTTGATTGATAGCTGTTGATTGATAGCTTGATTGATAGCTTGATAGCTAATGGACCAGTCATGCAAAACTTTATGGTTACAGTGACCTTGACAATGTTATTCGGGTCAGTCAACTGAACTGTATTTCATGCCTACACTTGTGTTTTCTTCTTAACACTTAGGAGATACAAGCACAAAGTGCACGGAATGAACCGTATGTAGGGAATGGTAAGTAAGATTCTAGTTAAAATTATCTCTTTTTAAACAAATTGGACATTCTTTTTATCCTTTTTTTTGTTCATTCTAATTTTCTCCAGAGGTATCAAGTCACCCCAGGAACCTCAATCATCAGACCTGGCCAGTTGCTCATCTTACATATGTCAATAGTACAGAAAGTAAGTGTTCATACATTTGAATCTCTTGTAAGATATACCATAGTAATGTGTGGTGATCCAACTTCAGAATTATATGGATTTTTAATCTTGAAATATGTGTTAAAATGGGAGTTTAGTAGTCTTTTGGCAACAACCATTATGTTTTCTTTTTTATTTGCATTATAGTAAAAGGAAATGTAGAACTTAATTGTTAGGGTAATGCAAAATCTCCTTTGTTTTAAAATCTTTTTCCTTTCCTTTGTTTTAAAATCTAGCATTGTTTTATGTAGGGACATAATGGGCTTTTGTCCTTAGCCAATTAAGAGGGAGGCGTCATATGCAAGCAGTGGAACACACCATGAAGTCCTTATATATATCACCTATGTTCTAGAAAGTCAAAATGTTTTAAAGGATTCTTTTAAGTTATGATCCCATATTCAGTGGCATACCAAGGGAGGGGCAGTCTGCCTTGGGTAAAGCCATCCATGGGTGGCTCCAGGAAAGCACCCTCCCCTCAAAGTTCTGATGCTGAGGAGGAGCCTAAATAAGCTTTTTTTGTTCTAATTAGATGTTTTGCTGCTGCTCCAAACAATTTGGACTCAAGGAAGCTGTTTCTATAAGCAGAAAAAATGCCCAGTAGAATGTTAACTACTACTATCTATATCATGACCTGGATAATTAGAAACCTTTACAAAGGAGAAGAAAATAAAAATGACATCAAAACAGGAGGGGAATTTATCAAAACTGGAGCCGACACAAAGTGGAGTAGTTGTGCATAGCAACCAATCAGCTTCTTTCTTCAGTTTGTTCAGTTAAGATTTGAAAATGAAAGAGAGAAGCTGATTGGTTGCCGTGGACATCGACTGCAGTTTTTGTCTGCTCCCATTTGATAAATTCCCCCCAAGATATTTAAAATTAAAATTGTATAGAGAAGCATTTTCCAGCATATAGATAACTACAAACTGACATTTTATGACTGTTTTTGACTATATTGTCATGGCAAAAAAGACAGGAAAGTTGTATAAATGTAGGTACTCTCAATGACAGTGGGTCCTTTTTTAGCTACAGTGGGTCCTTTTTTAAGCATTGTATTGCTTATAATGTAACTTTTTGTTTTGGATAGTATTTTTTTCACAAGACGTGTAGAACCAGGACAATTAGCAGTGTTCTGAGTGACCTCCACTTTATTTTCAGTGGTTCTTTTGGACAAATCCGGCATCTTCTCATCTGACCACCCAGACATAGGGTCTGTGAACACACATAGTAATGCTTAAGACCATAACTTGGCTAAAATGATTCTGTGATTTTAACCAAACCATAACATGCCTTGCCAGAAACTTCTGGGATATTTTTATATTCTTTTTTGAATATGTAATTTTTGCTGGATTCTGTCCTAACCTATCCTAAATAAAAACAGACCACTCAATGGCTTGTCTAATCAACAAACTAAAGTATCCCTTTGCATTAAGGTCTTCATTATTTAACATTCCAGTAATGTCTTTTTAGAAATATTATTTCAAAGTTCATTTAGTGAGTGCCCACAGCCATGCCAGAAATTGATATTTGTGATGGAAACTACCTGAGCCACTGCAAAGGAAACTATCTAAATCAACATACTGTATATACAACCTCTGGCCATTGTCAAGCTTGTATGAACTTGAGAAATTATACAAAGCCAGAAACATTAATATTTTTCTACGTTTCAAGATGGATGCTATTTTTAAGTTGTTTTTGTATTAGCCCATGGGATAAAGGTTTACCATGTATTTCAAAGACTGTGTTGTTGAAATATCAAAATGTATGCAATAGTCTTTCTTGATGGGCTATTCACAATAGCCCGTACGGCAGCCGAAGACAGCCGAACCACTCAGCCAAGCCAAACGCATATGCTTCGGCTCGGTTGAGCACAGCTGAAGTGGGAAGGACGGTCTCACAGCAATGTAAACAAACAAAAAAATGGCGTGGGGTCCCCCTTCCAAATTGGCCAAATGTAAACAGATAAGCCGAGCTAGCAGTGACATCTGTTGACATTCGACCGCCACCTGTCCTCAAATGACCTGTAGACAGTGGCCTGTCATTGCACAACAAACATGTTATATATTATGGAAACCAATAAAAACTTTGAAATTCAAATGGGTGGAGCCAGCTGTGACATCATGACTGGCTCCACCCATTTGTTGTCATACGGCCGGGTCCTTTCAATAGCGATTTCACATGTGTCGGCCGAATGTCGTCAGATTAGGCGGAGCCAGCAGTGGTGTCACTGCTACCTCCACCTACCTGTTTACATTCTGCAGAATGCCAGATCTCAAAATGTTAAGCTAGGGCTGGGGGTAAAATTAGATGGCAGACAACAGTAAAATACTTAAAAACTGGGGGTTTTATGCGGATTCAGTTTAAATAGATATTTTTTGCTGAAACTATAAATTGAATGCAAGATTTTGGGGGAAGGTTCCGTTAAAATTTTCTTTAGTTGCATAACAAAGAAATAAGGAAGCCTACAACTATCCATATTCATAATCTAATGTTAAAGTTGACATCACTTCTACTTTGTATCACATTAACCAACTCTCCACACCTTTTTACATTTAACCACTTTGCCGCCAGAGCTATTGTTAAATGTTTCATACTTTCTGGATCTGCATTTTTGGATAGAAAATTATCTAAAGGCCCCGGGACATTATATATTTCTGAAAGCAAAGGCCATGTAGAATAGAAAGGTGGTAGTTGCAATTTTTTATGTTGCATGCTAGTTGCAGAACTGATTACCATATCAATATTTTCAATATAAAGATACACAAAAAATCATTTTAGTACTCACAAACACAATATAATCCCCTATTTTTTGTACAAAATAAAAGGTGTTGAGCAAGTAGGTACGGAATATGTCAAGTCTCAAACTGTGTGTGCCTGCCAAACAGCGAAAAATTATGGAACCGATAAGTATCAATAGCTGACACTTCAAATGCCTTTACAGCTCATCAGTTTAGGCCTTGTGCACACCAAGCACATTCCAGGAGCAGAGCAGAGCAGAGCAGTTACAGACCGGATCAAAACTGCGTCCAATGTATTCCAATGGTATTTTAGCTCTAGTTCACACCGCAGTGTTCAGTTCCAGAGCATGTAAAAAAACTGCAGCAAGCCCTATTTTACCTGCTCTGGAACGCTCTGGAATGCATGCAAACGCATCAAAAACGCATGCAAACGCCCTGGAACGCAATGAAAGCCCATTCTAAACTGAAAAAAACAAACCGTGGCACAACCCATTGCACTGCGTGTGCAGAAACTCATGCAGATCTGCTCTGCATTTGATGTGAACAAGCCCTTAGAGATAACCATAAATGAAATGTCTAGGACAATTTCTCTCATTTCAGTGTACATGGCATTACTTAATGTGTGTTGCTCAACTGGGGTTGACTGGGCGGCACAGTCCTTTTACCTTTTACTTGATCACTTTTACTCCAAAGCCAGGAGGCAACTGAAAATAATAAAAACAAGCTCAACACGCTCACAGCTGCTGCTGCAGCCATAGTCTTGGTTTGACGCTTTCAGTGCCTGGGTGTACGGAACACCTTGGTCTGTACGAACTTTGACACATTTGTTATTCCATTGTGTCCAGATGTAAACACTTTATCAACCAATGATCTAATGACCATAATCTTGTTCTTTTCCATTCAAGTGAAGAGAAAGATGCACTGAAGTTCTTATTTTAGAACACCGTTTTGATCCACCAAACTCTTTTTAGTTTTAGCCCTCGTTCACACCTGACCGTTTTGTAGCGCGTTTTACGCTCGACGAACGCTCTACAAAACGGTCAAAAATATAAATTGCATTGTAGTCAATGCCCTCGTTCCCACCTTGCCGTATTTCCGCCCGTCCCTAACGCCCTACAAAACGGCCCACGCCTGAAAAGGTCCCGGGACTACTTTGGGCCGTTTTGTAGGGCGTTTTCCATTGGGATACCGCCAAGTAGCTTTCGGAATCGCGCGACTTTTTTACCGCGATAGACGCGCATATTACAATACGCCTAGGTGTGAATGGGGCCTTAGGCTCAAAACCAATACAAATTAAAATGTTTATATGTACAGCTGCTTCTGGAGTTAAAATATATGCAATGTGATGCACAAATACCCATATCTAGGAACATGTTTTTGTACATTTACCAAAGTATTCTTAGACTGTGTAGGTTTCTATTTCAATGCAATGTTTGGTATTAAGGAGTACCTAAATGTCCCAGTGATTTTATGGTATTGATACTACTTGTTAACTCTTTTTCATTTTTTTCAGCCAGCAACCAAGGGATAGAGCAGCTTTTTTCCTGGAACGATAAAGAAGGTTGGGCCCACCTACAGAATATGATCTACCGCAATGGGACGTTGACAGTCTTACAAGATGGATACTATTTTATCTATGCTAATATTTGCTTTAGACGACATAAAGCAGCACTGAAGATTTCCCAGAATCCCTTGCAGCTCATGCTTTATGTCAATAAATTATATAAGAATGGAAAGCAAAAAACTTTGCTGAAGGGAGGAAAAACTGAAATTTGGTCAAATGATTCACTGTATAACTTTTATTCGGTCTACAAAGGAGGTGTCTTCAAACTGGTGGCTGGGGAGGGGATACTTATTAAAGCCTCCAATACGGCCCTAATCGATCTTTCTCAAGAAGCAACTTATTTTGGGGCCTTCAAGATACTTGATATATACCTCTAAGACTTACTGTGTATTCTGTTTAGCAAGTATAACACACAGCAGTGCACCTTTTCCACCTTGTTCTGCATTGTCCTGAAATATTGCACATAGGTCCTGGACAGACAATTCTTTCAGAAGAGGTACATGTTATATTTATAGGACAATGTATATCATGCTGTGCCTTATTTATTCATCAAAACATTTTGCTCAACTTTTCAAAAAGTATTTTTCTGTAAATATTAAGGGCCTATGGGCCTATGTTATGAAGAACATTTTTGTAAGTATTTTTTATTATTCTCAATTCAGACATATACAGTATTCATGCTGGCATGAGATTCTACTTTGTTGATTCATGTTTCTGTTACAGCTCCAAAGTACGAAGCATGTTTTTTTATTATTGTTATATTGTAAATGTTTTGGAGTCTTTAAAATACTCTATACAACAATATATACAATTTATATATTATATTTTAGTTTTTAACGTTTTTTGGTTAGTTATTTTTATATATTAGCTTTATGGCCACACAAAAAGCTGATTTCTTCATTCAGAGGATAACTTCAGTCAAAAAGTGGAGACATAAAAGAACAAATAAGAGGTAAAAGTAAGAAATATAACCAAACAGAAATAATCCTGTTATGGTACAGTCAGGGACCTACAAGGTATGAGCATAGCTTGAGTTTTCACGGAATTAGAACAGGAGTGATGTAAGGTAGACTACCCATGTTTTCCAAATTTGTGCACAATTCTCCAAGTCTGGCATTGATTTGGATATCATTTTGGAGATAACCACATTTTCATGGTGTATGCTGGTTTTTCTGATGTAAATGTACTCTAGAACCCCAAACAAGGTTTTGAGCACAATTGCAATTTGTTTTGATTTACTGCATGGCTAACCCAGCCTAAATTATAAAGGGAAAGAGAGCTAGCAGTAGCCTTGCATCCTTCTGAATAAGCAAATGTTGCCTAAGTTCTTCTCGGTAAAATCAGCGGGCACTTTTTGCAAAGAAATTGTTTGTACACAGTTTCCTTGTATGTCACTTTTGTTAGTTTGCATGCCAGCTACTTGCCAGTACTTTTATAAACAATCAAAAAAGTATCTAACTGGCATAATGGAAAAATAGTGAACTGGTCTCTAAATGTGTAAACAAAAGTGCGGTTTTCATGTCCATTTATGCCTATTTTTAAATATGGTGCATTTCAATAAAATATGACACAACCAGAAAATTTGCCAAAAAGGTGCATATACAGCTTTCAATCTTTTATAATAAGCCCCTAATATATGAATATAAAAGGTTGTATGCTGTGGCAGTGCAGAAGATATGACCTTTAAAACAATAGCGTATTTTTATCCCAGAATCCTCCATCTTTATATGCATTGCAAAGTAAGGGACTATGAGGATTGTATTTTTCCCAGAAAAAGAGGCAACCATATTAATATCTATGCTGATGTGTGCATAATTCATTTCCCAGGCTTCAAGACTCCATGGGCTCTCTGCAGTTTAGCTTAAATGGATGTAGGTAGCTGATTGCTGAGTGCTTATTTGGGACAGTCAAATTCAGTCAATTGATACAGGCTTTTAACTTATTGTCACATGTTGCTGGTTAGGACCAATAAAACAAGAAAACATTCAGTGTAAGAGGGTTGATGCTTTGTGTGCCAAAGGTCACGTGCTAGCAGACAGCAGTGGTGGAAGTCTATCATTATGCCTAGTGTTACATCCAGGGTTGCCAAGTGTCATTTTTGTTTGTGATTTTTTAATAAATTGGGTATACCTGGTGCCTCAATCCATGCATTGCAAAGTTATGGTGTGGTGACGTGCAGGCAGGGTGTGTATATGAACCATGCCTGTCTGCGCATTTCTCGCCATACTACAGAGGAGGGAGGGGGATACTGCCCATGAGTGCTCACCAGGCCCAAGTCCTTCCCTACCCAGCCAGACAGCCATTTGCAGCAGAGCACAGCCAGCCAGAAGCCAAGTGTGCGGCATCACAACAGTGAATTGCAGAGGCAAAACTTTACTGCTCATATACTTTACTTACTTCATATGTAATTGCATCTGTCATACATATACTTCAAGGACAGGTTGATTTACATCAGCACAAAATTTCAGTTGGAAATGTACACTGCAAAAGCGGCTTAAAAATCTTTCCCAGTGCTCTCCCCAAAAAATGCATCTCTTTATTACATTCAGCCATAGATAGCTTTTCCAGCTGGGAACAATCCACTTAGCAGAATTCTCTTTCCCCCAGCAGTGTCAGTATTAAACATACAGTATTTAACAATTAACACAACATGCTTTGTTCTCTTTGTCGTACGAGCTGACATTTTAAGTGAACAATTTTATCCATTCGGCATTGCTTGATAAACTTTGTTAAGTATGTGGGTGAGTTTTGACAGGAAGAGCTTTGCTCCCCCCTTAATTCCTTATAGCAAATGTGTTTGTAGTAGATATGACATTTTTAAACAATGCAGCTGTGTGGCAACTGTATTAAATCAATTAAGAAAATACTCCTTTTTAATGCCACATTTTGAAATAATTTATTTTATTGGCAATATGTCTGCCTGTCTCTATCTATCTATCTATCTATCTATCTATCTATCTATCTATCTATCTATCTATCTATCTATCTATCTATCTATCTATCTTGTTGTTGCTAGATTTCAACACAAAACCCACCAAAGAACACCGTCATAGACCACAGGAATAGGAACTAGATGGTGCTAAGCATTCTTTGACACAGGGAGTCAGGGCCCTCATGAGCAATGACTTGGGTGGGGAGGCTTTCTGATGACCCTATCTATGAGAGGGAGGCTCACAAAAAGCACACAAAGAAAGGTTCTCACATGGCAAGGAATTATGATGTGATTCTTCATTTATAGTTACTTTGCACTAGTCTGTACACAGAATGGTACATTCCTGATAGCAGTCATTCAATGTCGTATTTTGACAAGCTAAAGTTATTTACTAATCATTCCAGGTAAATATGTACATTTAAATCCACCATGTTGTACCGAAACATGTATACACACCTAAGGCCCATATGTGGTTCATTTTCCTCAGTTGCTAAGCTGGTTTTGAACAGGTAGCACTAAACCAATTCACTGGAACAAAACCATTTGTGCAACCTATTAATAATAACTGTGCTTATTTAATATGATAATACAAAGAGTGAGGATGTGCAGTAACCATACCAATCAAAAACATATAGAGGGAACACAATAATGAAATCTGATTTGATTGGACGCCATGGGTTACTTACACCACTGCAACTTGCATTATATTATTAAAATGTATGTATACCCCAATTTGTTTTCCAGTTTGTTTGGCATTATGCCTCACTATTTATTGTTTTCTCCTGCAAATTTTTTCGTACCTGAATATTCTGCCAGTAGTAGCACTTCCTGTTGTAGACTGACCACACTAAACCACTTCCTCGCAATTAACACCAACATTGCCGGCCTGCCATGCATGCTTCTTCAGGTGGCCATTTGACTGCCAGTTAGTAAAGCATGACCTGATAGGTGGCCCAAGGGTTAAGAGGTACATCGTATATGCTCACATTGCTGCTGGTAATTGAGAGGCAGTGGCTTAGCATTGCCAGCCTGCAACTTGAGGCATTACATACACTCTAAATCAGGGGTGGGCAACTCCAGTCCTCCAGCATTTGTGGTACTACAAGTCCCATGAGACACTGCAAGACTCTGACACCCACAGACATTACTCCCAGAGGCAGAGGCATGTTGGGATTTGTAGGTAATGCACAGCTGGAGGGACAGAGCTGCTCTAAATTTACCCTTATGCAAGTTCCAGTTTTGATTCTACGGCTCTTTAGACACTCTATTCTATACTTTTCTATTTTCTTTGCAACCAAAAGTTATGGTTTTATTTATAATTTGGTTTTATGAAGGATAATAGACCCAACAACAACAAAATAAAGCAATAATTTGCTGAGTCTTACTAGAAAAAGTTTTATCATAAGTAAAATTGGGTATACATAATTAACTATCATAATGGTAGTATATTTGTTCAAGAGTTAATGATCTCGATTTAAAAGGGTCTTTTGTGTTTCTACATGCCATATACTGTACGTATATAGAGTTTATACATTGGTGCATCATTTTCAATCATCTAGGTTATACATACAGAACATAATAATTTCAAGATATAAAGTTTATATGTTAGCGCTGACAACATAAGCAATTTATGTCAATATTTAGCTACATTTATTTTGCTAATATCAGTCTTGTTTTGAATATATTTTGTCATATAAATATTTAATTTTTGTATCTTTCATTTTTGGCTGTAAATATATTTAATGAGCACTTTGTACATATAATTTTTGTATTTGCAGCTAAAGAATTGTTCAATAAATTTAATATATTTTGTTAACACGAGTCAGATTACTTGTTTTGTGAGAGTTCATAACTTAAACATGGATTGTGTACATAAGCACAATATTCTAGCGCAGTATACTTTTAAATTTGAAATAAGTGTGAATAATTCTAGAATCACTATATGTAAAAAATCTATTAAACTTGCTATACACAGATTTTGACTAGATTTCCCACTACATACAGTAGTTGTTGGCATATATGAAAGTGACCCTGTTGCTCCTCTAACAAAAACAAATAATTGATAACCCAGTAATAGAGAAAGTAAAATAGTTACCTCTCTAGGAGCATCTGTCGTTACCATCTATGTCAGACAGCGTGTCCCCCACTAGGTGCCATCGTTCCTTCTGCCAGCCTCTATGTCAATACAGGTCACAGTAGTTATAAAATCAGATTCTACTGTGTGCAGGCAGCTCTAGGTTTATTTTTTTCTCAATATGTTAATGCTTACAATTCTGGAAAACATAAAACTGATATCACTTAAAATAATAATGGAAGATACATCTTTTTGCCCCACTGGGTAAACATTCAAGCTGTTTACCTAAATAATGAACTGGTAAAATGTTCACTCTTTTCCTTTCAGATGTTACTTTACATTAGGATTATCATATAGACGTTAAAGTCCTT